TGCCAAGACCCCTTCAACCTCTGCAGCAATGCTGGCAGCACTCATACGTCTATTTCCCAAAGCCAGCCTCTGGATATGACGCTCAGCACCTGCACTCAACTTCTTTGGTCAACCATGGCGAGGCCTGTTCTGAGTGGAACCTGTCCTGTTAAACTGCTGTATGGTCTTGGCCACCGTGCTGCAGCTCAGTTTCAGGGTCTTGGGAATCTTCTTAGAGCCTAGGCCATCTTTATGTAGAGCAACAATTCTTTTTTTCAGATCCTCAGAGAGTTCTTTGCCATGAGGTGCCATGTTGAACTTCCAGTGACCAGTATGAGAGAGTGAGAGCGATAACACCAAATTTAACACACCTGCTCCCCATTCACACCTGAGACTTTGTAACACTAATGAGTCACATGACCCCGGGGAGGGAAAATGGCTAATAATGCCCAATTTGGACAGTTTCACTTAGGGGTGTACTCACTTTTGTTGCCAGCGGTTTAGACATTAATGGCTGTGTGTTGAGTTATTTTGAGGGGACAGCAAATTTACACTGTTATACAAGCTGTATACTCACTACTTTACTTTACACTTTGTACCAAAGTGTCATTTCTTCAGTGTTGTCACATGAAAAGATATAATAAAATATTTACAAAATGTGCAGGGTGTACTCACTTCTGTGATATACTGTAAAAATACAATACATATAAAACTACTACATAATACTGATTTCAGTATTCCTGTTTCTAGGAATGCATGTCAAAGAACAGCAATGGGTGGACAAAAAGGATAAGTTGTTGTCTGCATCTGTTAAGGGAGGACAGAAAACATAGAATGGTTGTTTAAACAGATATTGGAAAGAACTGTGTATTTGTTGTGAGTGCTGAAATTAACCAAGCCTTATAAGACCAATCATTATGTGCAGGTTTGCTTAGAATTACAGTGGTATTGTAGAATTTTCTAAAGCTGATAGGTAATTACCTCTCTTTCCATTTCTGCTGTACTAAGAACTTTTCTAATTATTATTGGTTTCATCTGTTCAGCAAATGACAACCAAGAAATTAATTCAATTATCTTTTGCTCTTAATTCATGAGGTTACTGTAGTTTTGCTGTGTGGGGAAATCTTTTTATCTTTTCTATTGATCTGCTGCCTTGTGATTCTTGCGGGTTTTTTTAAATTTTTCTGGTAAAAATTATAATTAATAAAATGGGAGGTTGCTGTGGCTGCTGTAATAACAGTTTTTAATTGTAAAATCTGGAGGCCACTCAAGTATGCTGTGGCAGCAAATTTAAGACTCTGAAGCACTTGCTGAATTTGAAGCCAGCTCTTCTGGCTTGAAAAATTCAATTCTACTGTGTCCCCTTGTGGTACATAAAACTGGTCTATAAAAGAACAAATGCAAAGCAAGGTTGGAAGAGCAAGACTTCTGTGGGACTGGAGCTAACAGGAAGGCAAATGCAAACTGTACTTATAATCTGAAAACCATAGACATATCTGTACTTGGCTTTACACCTACCCTAAAGAAGAGAGGATATAATCCAAAGGACTCACAATTTAAGGATTAGACAGCAACAAACATTTCCCAGGAGAAGGTTCCCACCTAACACCCTCAAAATGACCTTTAAATTTCTATGAATGGCTCATACCCATTTGATGCAGGAGGTCTTTGCATATGCACAAGATGGCTTATAAACAAAAATCAGACTGAATATTCAGTAGTTAACATTTCTGCATGAAAAACAGCATTTTCAAAAGCACAAAACCCCTTTGTCCCGAGTCCCTTCTCCTTAAGAATAATTTTATTCTTTATCACAGTCTGCTCCCACCCAATTGGGGATCCTTTAGGGAGCATGATTATGCTATGATGCCATGTAAGCAATCAGATACTATTTAGAATGAATTCCAGATTGTATTTGGGAAGCTTTAGTGAACTTCATAATGAGAAATCCTGTTATGCTGAATTGTTTCCAGTTGAATTCCAACTGCAATTCCCATACTGATATTGAAAATACTTCAAAACAACTATAGATGCTTTATGAATCACATTTATAACATTCATTCTAAGGCACTAGGGTAAGAAACTGGGACTTACTGCTTGTGGTAAGATTACTTTCTCCAGGTTGTGGAAGAGGATCTGCATCCTGGATGACTTGTAATACTCCAACTGTCCGGACAGGAGGATCCAATGCTACCGAACTTTCATTCACAGTTATGTCACTAGCTCCTGTAATCTGATTGGAAGGTGGCCCTCCTATAGAAGCTTCAAAATCTGGAGGGATGTCATCTACACAATCTGCATTTGGCTAATGGGAGTAAGAAAGAAGAAACTCATGAAAAATTGAAAGAAAGATTCTGACCAGAAGTGTTCAGATTTGAATTACAGAAAGAAAAGGTTTGCTCCCATAGCTTTAGTTACAGTTTCATATCTTACCTAATTATAGATCTTCAAGTATATATGTTGATTTCCCTTTTTATTATTTATTTACTTAAAGCTTGTATATACCATCCACTACAAGAGTCTCGGGACAGTTTTACAATAAAAGCAATTAAAAATCCCTTTTAAAATCAGCATTAGTTTGTATATTCTTCCGAGTGGAAATAGCCACTTTGAGAGGCTTCTTACTCCAATTTCGGCACCTGCTGTTTGTACATAGCCCTTAAATACCAACTCTTCCAAAACAGCAACTCTGTTTTGGGAATGCCTTCACCACACTTTTCATCTAAAGTGTGTACAACCGGGACAATATATTCCACATCTTTCAGAACTCATGCATGGTCAGCGTTTGGAAGTAATAGTTGATATGGTCATTTCTTCCCAGTAAGAGTCTGGATGTCTTATCAGATGATATCTTTTCAGGGCTTCAGAAGGAATTCTCATGGGTGTGTGTGGGTGTGTGAATGAAGTCAAGAGAAATCTTTTAACTACGCAAACAGCACTTGCAACATTTTGTAAAACTGCAAATTACATAATAAAGCAATAACATGATAAATGCATTTTAACATAGCCATCAAGGCTAGTAGCCACTGATACCCTTCTCTGAATTTGTCCAATCCCATTAAAGCTGACCAAACTGGTAGCCATCATGACTTCCTATGGTCCTGTACTGTATGAAGAAGCATTCATCTGCCCTCAATCTCCCACCAATTGACTTCATGTGATGACCCTTGGTTCTAGTATTATGGGGAAGGTTAAAAATGCCTTTGTCTTCACTTCCTCCATACCATGCATAATTCTGAACACCTGCATCATGTCTCCTCTTACTCATTGTTTTTCTAAGCTAACCAGTCCTTGTGGTTGTAACTGTTTCTCATAGTGGAGTTGCTTGGACTCTTTGATCATTTTAGTTGCCTGTTTCCCAACTTACTAATGTCCTTTTTCATGTTATGGCAACCAAACTATACATGATATTCTAAGTGCAGTCACATCACCCTTTCCTAATTATACCTAACATGGAGTTTGCCTTTTCCATAACAGCTGCACACTGGGTTGACATTTTCATCAAGCTGTCAACCACAGCCCCAAGATCCATTTCTTGATCAGATACTGTTAGCTCAGCTACCATCAGTTTATATTTCAAGTTGGGATTTTTGCTCCAATGTATGTAACCTATACAAGGAAGAGGTGAGATCTGACTTCCAAAATACAGAACTGCTCTTTTGAATCCACATATAGCCCTTTACTTTTGTACAAAATTGCTCATGACATTTTGGTATATATTGCTTCTGATAGTATGGTTCTCATTCTTGTTGCAAGGATGTTTTCTCCTCATTTTGAGCTAGTATTTTCTGCTTTGCCAGAAATAGATCAACTCTCTCTTTTAATGCCAAAATGTCTTTCTCTAGAACAATAGCTACAGCAATAACAGAAGCCAAAGAGTGCTTGGCAAAAAGAAGTTAGACAATTTGAAGCTGCATCTTTGTATCCCTTTTAGCATTTGATGTTTTTTACACACACGTGCGTGCACACACTCACCCCCCACCTGAGTTTTCTAGGCTTAAACTTTTGACTTCGATGGAAACTTGGCAACAGACCCAAGCCTAGACCTTTTTGCTTCTCATTAAGAGAAAGAATGGGCATACATTTCCTTATCTGAATTCTGAGTGGTTCTTGCCTTTGAGTGACTTCTTTCCAACTGGCTGTTTGGGCTACCTGTACATTAAGCAAATGAGAGCAACACAACTATTCAGGGCATGTGAGCATCTAAGTTACTCATATACTGGAACATTCCATAATTTGTAGATTAGGGAAAGCTATGTGTGTGATGTGCTAGGTAAAAGATTAAAGAAATATATTGTGTAAGGAAACTATAGAAACAGGTGATAGCAAGCCAATGCTCTCCTTCTGGGAATGATAGCTCTCAAGGTGAAAAAAGAGGCCAAAGAATTGAAAAGGGGAAATTTGTTGTGGGGGACTTTGAGTTTGCTGTTGGCCAATTAATGAGGTCTAGTGGAGGAGGATTTTTTAAACTTTAAAATTTCAGTATCTGTTAGATGTCATGCTTAGTTTTCTGCACCTGCTTCAATAGATCATAGTACATGGCTTTAATAAAGAAATTACATTAAACAATAGCATATGGCTTATGTGAAGAATGTAACATATAAAAAGTAGCCTCTATTCTTTTCAAAGTTCTTGTGAAGGAAAAGGGGTCTTGGAATACCCAGTCAAATTATTCAGCAAAGATCTTACTAAGCAGGGTATTCAGATACTTACTTCATCATTACACAGGTGCAGTTAGGCAATCACAAAAAGACCATTTTAAGTAGTCTGCCATATGACATGCTTACCGGAATCCCTAGTGCTTTTAAGATGTTCATTTTACACATAGGGCAGGTGCGATGGTCTAGCAGCCATGGATCAACACAAGACTTGTGAAAGAGATGCCTACAAAAGGGAGAAAATTATATTTAGTTTTCTCTCTCTCTGTAAGTTTTGAATATTCTTAATTCCCAAAGTTGCTGGTGAGATAATCTATTTTGAAAAAGCTCAGAAGTGTCTTGCAGCATACAAACTATATAAGTAAACATTTATCCGCACTGGAAAGAGGTTTGTCAGGAGAAAAAACACATGAATGAAGGTCTATACTAAATACATTTTGGGCAATGGAGTCTGGATTTACAATTCCAAAGGTTAAACTACTGCAACATTTCCCAAACTGGTTCTGTCAAGAAGTTTTTATTACAATTCCCACTTTCCTGGCTACACTGGCTGCAGCTCATGGGACTTCAGTTACAAACAATCTGGATGGCACCAGGTTGGAGAAGACTAGTACAGATGTTATAGCAAGTGCGGCTCTAGCTGCGATCTGTTCAAGTCCTTTACTCCATGTTTCAAGTGAAGTCTTTACTTTCAAGTCCAAGTTGAGTCTTAAGTCATTGCAAGAAATTTTTGAGCTGAGTCTCAAGTCTTTTCTCAAGTCCCAAGAGCCAACTTGAACAGAAAAAAGGGAGGTGGTGGGGTGTGCATGGGGGAACGGGAGACTTGTAAATATATCCCCAATGTTCCCATCTGTACTTCTCTCAGTGAAGTCCTTTACTTTAACCAGGATTTATTTAAACAAACAAATAAAATCCTGATCCTGCCCCCAAACCCTTGAAAGTCTCTCCTTCCCACTACCTCCTCATGCCAAAAAGTAGAGCTGGAGCCTTGCCTTCCCCAATTGCAATCCCCTCCACCCTATTCTGCACCTTCCCCCTTGACTCTCCTTGCCTCCCACCGTCTCTGCTGTGCTCAGGCCAGGCTTTCAGGATATCCGGCTCACAGTAAGACCTGGAAGCAACTTGGTCATAAAAAACACAGAAATCGCAAGTTCAGTCAAGTCACTTGCTTGTTGCTCCCCAGTTGCGTCACTAACGTGACTTGTGTTGGACTTGGGAGTGAGTTGCTCGACTCAAGTCCCCAAACAGGCCTCTAATATTCCATGGTGCTGTTGCAATGCCTGAAGGCTTGTGAACACATGAGCAAGATCAATCCTTGACCATGATTGTATCTTACGAAGGCAGACACTGTTAAAATGAACATTTAAAATTCTTCTGCAACTTTTCATAACCAGTGTAAATTCACAAGAAAACCCAAACAGAAAACACACTTTAAAGAATGCCCACACACCTACAATTCATTTGTGAGCAAGAATGCATATGAGGTGCAATATATGAAATCATACTAGAAAGTATGATCTCTTAGTTTTAAGGTCAAGCATGACAAACTGTATTAGGACACAGAAGAATATCTCACAAATATCTTGCAACCAGTGGTAGTTTGGAATGCTCAAATGTTACATCCTTATTTGGCTGTTGCAAAGATCCTTAGTTTCAAAAAGACTACACATTCTGAGTTACTCCAACTCAGCAGCTGTCAAGATCATATCTTGTGCTCTTTCAGAAATAAAACGAAAAGAGATTAAGATAAAAGGAAAAGACCATAGCCTACCAAACCTTTATCTTGTGACTTAATGATATGGTTTATTTACATCAGAGTAACTACAAAAAACATTTTTACAACTTAGATGTATAAAGTCTGCTTTATAGCTTTTAGGCTCAAAATGGACCTGGTTCACAAGCCTGAGAACTCTTCTGTAACAGTTCACCCACTAGTTATTTATGTGGGCCATGTGGACAAGAACTCTGTGCACATAAAAGCTATCAACATATGTATGTACAGTGAAGAATGGAATAATGAACATTAATTGTCCTATTTGCAGTGCTGTCAGGTCTGGGCAAAGCCAGTGGTATGAAATCAAGAACAGAGACTTGAAATCAACTTGAAATCGAGAACAGTGAAACCAGTTAATAGTCAGGACTGAAGAATAACCAAGGATATGAGAGCATGCCAGGGCTCAGGAAGACCTGTTGCTCAACTGGAGCACAAAATCTTTTTGCAGTTACTCCTGCCAAGGAAGATACAATAACAAGCTTGTATAGGCAGAGTCAATCCAGAACCTAAGTTAGTTTATGAAGAAGCTGTCATCTGCAGTGTAGTGGTTCACCACACCTCATAGCCACACCTGGTTCTAGCAGTTCCTGACAAGTCTACATAGATCTGTTTGTGCACAGTCCTTTAGCAAACAGGGTGGGCAAGTTTGCATCTGAACCTGGGAAAAGGACATATGCAATTTATCAGATGATATCTACAATTAGGCTTTGTGAAACTATAATAATTTAATTTGGTTTACTTATGGGAAATTATAATCCCAATACTATATATGCTATCTAAGAAACTGCAATTAAATTGGTTTTACTTTCAGGTGATTAATAGAACATAAGAAAAGTTCATCTAATCCAGAATCAGAATTCATACAGCGATCAATCACAAGTAAGACATGAGGTTGATAGCACTGTCCCACCTGCATCCTCAATAACTGATATGCATAGTCATACTGCCTCTGATACTTCGAGCATCATTCAGGTGATGCGACTAGTGGCCACTGATAGCCTTCCCCATAAATTTGTCCAATATTCTTTTAAACCCATACCTATTGGTAGCCACTACTATACATCCTAGAAGTGAATTCCATAGTTTAACTGAGCACTGTGTGAAGATGCACTTCTTTTAATCTGTCCTGAATCTCTCACCAATCAGCTTCGTGGGATAAATCTGGTTCTAGTCCACTCCACTTTGTCAACACTATGCATATTTTTGAATACCTCTATTATGTCTCACTTTGCTCACCCTTTTTTCTAAGTTAAACAATCCCTTTATTCCTACTATTGGCCTATGACTTCTTTCCTGAAAAGGTATGCTCAGGCACAGGTATTTGTTCTGTGTCTTCAGTGGTAAAGACAGATGAGAAGAATTCATCCGAAGAATATGCTTGGGGGGGAATTTGTTTTGTTCATATTCTAATACAGACCAACATATTTTGCACTTCACAAACTAATATGGAATCTGGAAAAGAACTTCAGTCTTTGCATTTCTCTGATTCATTTTTCACATTAAAAAACCATACAAACACATGTAAGTTAGGGAAAACTGCACATGGATATATAGTAGGAAAAATATATGCACTTTTACACCTTTCTAATACATGCTTTTTGAACACATTTCTGTTAGTGTTATGAACAGACAATTTGGTGATCTCTACCAAAATTGATAAATATGTTGATCAGTGAATTTATCATTGAACAATTATAAGCCTCAATGGATTTGGTTTTTGCAGTCCCAGTGCCCCAACATAAGCCACTGCAATTAAGAACATAAGAAGATTTATACTAGATCAGAGCACAGGACTACTTAGTCCTGCATTTTCTTCCCACAGTGGCCAACCAGATGTTTATCAGAAGCCCACAAATAGGGCATGAGCACAATAGGATTTTCCTGCTTGTGTTCCTTAGCCACTGGTAATTGAGAGGCATACTACAATACCCATCATAACTAGTGCCATGGATAGTAGTATCCTCCTTCAATTTGTCTAATCCCAGCTGTCAAACTTGGTATCCTTCACTACATCTTCTAGCAGTAAATTCCACAGTGAAGAACTGAATATGTGAAGAAACAATTTTAAGGTCCCCAATCTTCGACCATTTAGCTTCACCGGATGACCTCAGGTTTTAGCATTATTTTTTCCACAACAAGCACAATTTTATACACTTGGAGAATGTTTCTTCCTTTGCTTGCCTCTTTCCTAAAGTGCCCCAAATGCCATAATGTTCCTCGTTAGAGAATTGCTCTGCCACTTGATCATTTTACTTGCTCTTTTCTGCACCTTGTAGTTGTAGCATGGTTTAATCTTAACAGATAACAAAGAAATATTTTGACCTGTGAGAATGCAATCAAATATTTTGACCTGTGAGAATGCAATAAATTACTGTTATTAAACAAAATCAAAAGGCAAGAATTATAGTCTTCTGACCGAATATTATAGTAACTCACCGGCAGGGCAAGATCCTGACAACATCATTTGGTTTGTAGCCCTCAATGCATACTGCGCAGTTATCAAAATCAGGCTCAGTTTCCTTTGAAAACAGTAAAGTTATCTTTTCAAGCAGCAAGCATATTGGCTGAGAGAAACTTACAGGCAACAGCACATCACAAAATAAATACCTTCAAATTCTGAGGGGGCAATCTATTCAATTGTGGGCTGAGCACCTTTGTGTGAACTATCCCCTTACCACAGAGGTTGATAGCATGTGGCTTGTGAACTGAGTGTAGTCCGGTGCCCCTCCCCAACTCTATTAAAAAAACAAAGCAACTGGTGTCTAAGGAGAAGATTTTGAAATATTTTTGTCTCTTTTAGTTCTCCATAGCACCAAATGGGAGAAAACTGACTTAAAAAAAAAAAAAGCTAATTTTGATGCTTTTTGTGCTTCATAGCTACTCTAGATATCATCCTTAAAAATAAATGCAATATAGAAATCCACAGCATTTAGAGTAGGGAAGTACTGCCCTTGCAGTGGCCCTGTACGTACTAATGTTGTCTCCTTATGCCTTAAGATACAAGAGAGCTCTGTTTTGTGCCTCTGTCTTGATGGTACATGCAACTTAATTTTCTTTCTTTATTACATTTATAAAATTTTACCCTCCATGAAGCATTGAAGAACAATAAAAAATCAAATAAAACCTGAAGAGCAGAGGCACAAAGCCATACAATAAAATGAAACAGCAGCCTTTAGAATAAAAGCTGTAAAACACTAAACAACATCTATTTGTGCATTAAATTTATTAAATGCTTCATTAAAATAAAATTCTTTAGGGATTTTCCTATTTAAATAATAATCAAAGCGAATAAAATCAGCAACATAAAGCTAATTTATATGCCGATAAAGCACAGAGCACACTATCAGGTGTAATGGATAAAACCACAGTGCAGGGACCAAATAGTGAAATGCATAATTACTGAAATGTTTAAAAATGCTCTAAAAGGTGCCTCTCAGGCCTTTTGAAGGAACATTCCAGTATCAGAGTGCTTTGAACATCCAAAGCTCTGCCAGTACACGTCCAGCAGAGCAGAATTTTCATTTGTCCATCCTTGATGTTGTTTTTCCCTCTAGATGGGCATTTGAGCCCATCTAGACGGTTGCACTGCTGGAGGGTGGGCAGGATCAGGGCTAGAGAAACTCAAGGTTCTGCAGAGCTTAGTTCCTCCCCTCCCCTCCCCT